CCCTGGATCTGCCATTCAGGACTTAAGATTTTCTGAAGGCTCCAGCCCTGACATGCTCTACCATGCCCTGTTCTGAGTCCAGCAAAGAACATTTACAACTCTTTTGGGCTCTTACCAAATTTTTGTGTTGGGAAGTCACCTCTCAGTATTCAGACACAGACGCTTTGGGAAGCCAGGAGTCATGCTATTCATGGATGAATCTGCTCACCTGACCCTGTAGGTCCCAGCAGGTGTCTGCTTGCTGTTGGTCATGGATGATTCCATAAAAAGCCTCTGAAGGTGGCCTACACGTGTTCATTCATTGATTCCTTCATTGATTCCTTCACTTTGTCCCCCACACTCACAGAACCACTGATCTCAGGACCCAACCCCTGCCACCCACAAGCTCCTGAACTCCATGGGGAGGCAGACCTGGAAACACCTAAATCCTCCAGGGTCATAAGGACCATTCACAGGGCTGTGGTGGGACAGGAAAAGGAGCAAGGGGCTCTGCCTGGGGGAGGAGAGCCAAGAAGGTCCTAGAGGAGGAGCACGTGTGCTGGGCTCTGAGAGGTGCAGGACACTGGGCAGTGCAAACAAGGAAGGGGCTGGACAGCAGAAGGAACAACATGAGTCACAGCGCCCTCTGCTGGGAAGGAGGCCACACAGCCTCCACATGGGCAGTGGGGACAGAGGGAAGCTCCCTTGGGATTTAATCGCTAGCATCTTTTATGGGGCATCTGTTCTCCGTGAACAACAACCTGCAGAACCTTCATTCCCATTGACTCCCCACGATTTAGCAGATGAAGGTCTGAGGTCCACAGAGGAGAGGGGTCTTGTCCAAGGTGCTGGGCCTGGAACCCAGGTCTGTCCACACACAGGCCACGCAGGCCCTTAACCTCCCGCACAGTCGTCCAGCCCCTTACGGACCCTTGACTTCCTCTCCTTCCAGTGCAGCCCCCCGCGCCCAAGGACCTCCGCGTCAGCCCTGATGGGGACCGTTTTCTGCTGTCCTGGAATGTGACCCATGGGGGTTCTGAGAGCCACTGGCTGTCCAGCCTGGAGTTTGAGGTGGTCTACAGGCGGCTTCAGGACTCCTGGGAGGTAGGGACCCCCACCAGCTCTGCCCTGAGCCCACAGGGACCCGGCCCAGCCAGCCCTTCTCCAGCAGCCCCTGTCTCCCACAGGATGCCCCCACCATCTACTCCAACTCCTCCTGGGCCATCCTGGGGCCAGAGCACCTCATACCCAGCAGCACCTACGTGGCCCGAGTGCGTGCCAGGCTGGCCCCAGGCTCGGGGCTCTCAGGACGGCCCAGCCAGTGGAGCCCCGAGGTTCGCTGGGCCTCCCAGCCAGGTAACAGAGTCGGACTCGGGGGCCGTGCCCCCCCTTGGGGAGGGCGGCTCATTGCAGCTCCTGGCCAGAAGGAGGCCAGGGTCACACCACGGGATTCACGGTGGCCCTGTGCTATGTGTTTAGAGAGGCTCCCCTAGGCCCACCCCGTCCCTGCTGTGACTCTGCAGAGGCAGCAGCTACATCTTACTCACGTCTGAGCCCAGGTTGGCTGCCCACTTTCTGGGC